TGAAAATGGTTGAGAATCACTGGCTAGTGAGTGGTTCAGAGTCAGGCTTGTTCTTATGATAGCTCTGCCTCTAACAAGCTGCTGCCACTTGGTCAAAATATCAAACCTCTCTGTGCCTCCTCTCTGTCTGAAGTGGGGAGAATAATGCGCTACTTCATAGAGCATCACATAAAGAAATAAATGGGATACTCAATACGAGGTCCTGGTCCTTGGTTGCCACGTGCTCGAATGCTGGATGATGATGAGGATGATATAGAAGACACTTCCTGTGCAGGTTTTAGTAATCATGAGCCATTAAACAATGCGAACCACTAGTTTTATGACTAAATAATTTACCTTGCTTTCTATTATTTTCCAAATATATATGCATTTGCCTTTTAAGTTGGTATTGTGTTCCTCTTTTAAGCCAGCCCTTGGATTCACCCTACAAAACCTGCACAGCTGGCCCAGAGCCTGATAATGCTAAGCTCTTGGGGCTCTGGGGTTGGAAAGTAACCGTGTCCAGTCCTGTGGCCTGGACCCACAGAAGGGCAGAAAGGAGATCCAAGAGATGGAAGAAAATGGGACTTGCCCAAATAGGATTTATTATCACTGTATCCCTCTCCCATCAAAAGCTCCAAACGAACTCCACAACCCTCCTAGGGGAAGCTATGCTTTAAACCACATTTTCTCCTTGCTACTAGGATTCTTACTTCCTGGGGCTAAGGGCAGATACTTGCACATCGCGGGAGGACGGTATATTCCAGTTGCTCATTAAACACAACATTTAATAAGACAAGGCATCACCAGCACCCCAATAGCAAACAATGGCATAGAAAATTTGTTTCAATAAGGATGCGACCAAGCGCTTCGCGTGAATTGTGGAGACACAGAGAACAGAGATGGCAGCAAGACAAAGGACAATACCCCAGAAGGAAGTATAAACACAAACGCCTCTAGTTAACAGAAAGGCTGTTTTGCAACTCTGATTCTCCACTGCCTTGTGTACTAAATGTTACTCCATTTTCATCTGCAAGATTCTTTTTAGGCATATGTTTATATTTTTATATCAAATATCTAGGGTGGAATTTCTGGGTTATAGGGTAGGTGTAAATTCAGTTTAAACTTCTATTATGAGCGAGTCAATAGAGATCATGAAGTGAAGCTGGTGTTTAAGTAAAATCAGGTTGGCTAGAATGCAAAGATTTTTTTCTTTTTGTTTATACACTAAATTTTTTTTTCATCGTCAGCAATATTAAACATTCTAGAAATTTTTCATCATAGTTTCAACCTTCCAAGTGGACTCTCCCTTAAATCAGGGAGTCTCTACTGCCCTGAGGTTGGAGTGCTCTTTGTGAGAAGGTGTCTGCTCTGCTGACCCACTCTGCCCATTACTAACACCCTTCACACCTCTTTCTTAACTGAATTTCTACATAAAATGGTTGTTTGGGGATTTGGCATAAGAAGCTCAAAATCACTGAGATGCACCCTATCAAAAGCTACTGCCTCCCCCATCAAAACATTTTTGAAACCAGATAAAAAATAATTATATCTTCCATCCTGAGGGAGAAACCTCTTCAACTGCCAAAGAAATATTCTAGGGTTTTGTCCACTCTGCTTTTATTTCCAAGACATTTGCTTGCAATCTAAGAGAGTCTATGGTGCATGATTTTTCAGTGCTCCTTCTGTTAACTGAATCAGTTGCCTCATTAAAGACTCTGACAGCGCCATGTCAAGGTAGCTGGGCTGGAAACAAATACTGCTGATCCAGATAGTCACCAACTTCCTAGAGACACTGAGGCCACAGCCCACATGTGTTACAAGGACCCAGGGTGCCAACCACAGGGCATCTCTGGTCTAGGCTGGCAAACTATCAAAGGTGAGATGTCAAGGTCCCTGCATAGTATGATCTTTTCACAAGGTCACATTCATAGCGTATGTTTCAGTCGGGTTTCAACGTTGATTAGAAGGGGAAATATTTGATTTGCTAGTCCAAGCTTTTAGCAATATGGGAAACTAAAATGAAATTTTCTCTGTTGGAAAAGAAAACACTCTTGATATAAATGGGGATTTTCGAAATCCAAATGGGGGACACAGCACTATTAGTTGAAATGGATATAGATATGTATTTACAGCACCTGTTATATAAAAAAAATCTCAATACCCTTCATGGGAAGGCCATGAGAAAAAGCTTTTTAGTAACCGAAAAGAAAGTATAAGACAGACCTAACGCAGAAGTCTCCACTTTCTAGTCATAGGTTCTCTTATTTATAGAAAACTTTTACCTAAAGGACAAGTCAATATCATCTTGTCACTGAAAGTTCGAGTCTGAAATTTCAAATACATTGTTATATTAAAATTAAGCACTTGGAAGAGATAAATCTTTTAGTAAAAATTTTATTTCTCTGTAAATACAAAGTCCAACATCAACAAACAATAATCCAGTGGAAAAATACTTAGCCATTAACATTGAAAACTTTTTTAAAAATTTAATAAATAGAACTTTGGCATTCAAAATTCTAGCTGTAAACCCTATTAAAAAACAAAACAAACAGAAAAACAGCCCCTTTACAAAAAAGAGGCAAGAATGACAGATCAGAAGGCATAAGCCAACCAGCGGCTTCACATTCTTTTTACAAGGACTGTATTTCAATTAAGTCATGACCACTGTATTTACACATGAGGTATTCTGGGTGGTTCAAAACTGAACCTAGTTTACAAAAACCACCAGCCATAGTGACTGATTATACACTCTGCTGTGCTTCTCATGTGACCACCTAGCACCTTACCACTCTTGCCATCACACCAGCGTGATGTTGAATTTTATGTTTATATATTTAAATAACTATTTATACATATATGTACACACGCATTCACACACGACATTCCAAAGGAGTTTCTTGCTCACAATATGGGGAAAAGGCTGGGTTCCAAAGATATATATCCGACACCTCCTGTCATGTTTACTAAGTTATCTACCTAGTAATGAAAAACTGCTCCTTGCTTTAAAAAAATCGTTAATGAGTCTAACAAGGTGCGATAGTCATCAACATTCTTATAGCTCTTGTAAAATAGAAATGAATGCTTACTGCAGGCAAAAAGGCACGAAAGGTTCTCTCTGTATGCAGCTGCAAGAGTGTTAATGACTTACTGAATTGAAAATACACTCCTAATTTACTCAATACTTCCTTTAAATAAGAAAAAAAATCCAAAGTCTCTCCCCTTCATGATTAAATATTATTAAATGTATAATATTACCATACAGCAATATACTACCATGGCATTTTGGGGTGAATTTGGAAATTATACTCTATATACCAAACAAATAGTTTTTCTTGCTTTGTGAGTACTGAAAAGAATTAAGAATGGAAATGAAGTGAATTAGCTTTGGCTCAGAGAGCTACAGCCACTGGCAGTTTCAAGTGATACGGTCTAAGTGAGCATGGTTATGAGAACTGCTTATTACTGTAATTACATATCTACAATGATAGAGATCTATGTAAGAGGATGCCAATAATCCAAACTAAAGGTATGGCTGAGCTGAACTGTGCTATGTAAAACCACAGTCCAAGTTCTCAGCTGCTATTCAATGAACTATGACTGATATTGAAAAAATGTTTTCCCAATAAAGTAGTTCCTTTAAAAATACCCTCCAAGAGATTCATATTTATAAGTCTTGAACTATCACAACATTAATTTATAAGCTTATTCATAAGTCATAAATGTACAATATCTATTTTAGCAACACTTCCTAGCCCTTGAGATTGTCCCTAACAAACTACTAAAAGAAATCTAATTCAGTTTAATCACTGCACTGTCATAACCAAAATAAATTTCACTAAAATATAATATTGTTAACATTAAATATTGAATCCTATTTCAAATATAAAACAGGGCCACACTTCTTAAAAGAAAAGTTCAGGCATGAAAATATCTAATCAATTCACTGAGGCTTTTTAAAATGAAAGACCACTGCAAATTTACTAACAATTAACTAGAGCCATCCTTTTTTCCTGACCTCAAATGAAAAGACAACCATTGTGCCTTTGATCTGCACAGGTAATTTGGGTATTTTATTGAGACCACTGTTACTTTATCTCTGCTTTAATGTGACTGAGGCCGAATGAGTTCAACTTCAAAACCCGGAAGACTAAGAGTAAATTTTGATAATGCATAAAATACTTCCTTAGAAGACAAGCATTTAATCACAAAAGCATAATTTAAAAGTTTTCGTATCTAAGGAATTTTTCAAATAGATTTACTTTAAAATTAGGTTACTTTTCACCTCAGACCTATATCACTGTAATAACTTCCAAGAGTACCTCATTCAAACTGACACAAGAAATTGTCTTGGGAACGGGCATTTTCTGAAAAATGAAAATCAAATTTAAATACTGATGAATTAATCTATTACTAGTTCGATTTTCTCCCAAAATACCCTCCAAGGCCAACCACTTATCTATGTCCTTTCACCAACTCCAGACTCCAAGAGATTACATTTTGCAATTCAAGGCTATACTTAAACTATCACATCTTAATTTCCTTTTTTTAATGGAGTATATACATTTTGGAAAGTGAAATATATAAGCAGTAATTTGTTAATTTCCTACTAAGTTAAATTTTTTTTGACCTCAAGACTTATGAATTAGGTGCAATTCTATAAAAGTTTCAGAAAACTTATTTTAAAAAATAAAGTATTTTATCCCAACTAAGCCACAAACAAAATGTATCTATAATAGATTAAAACAAATGACCAAAAGTTTGTTTAAAACAATAATAACCATAAAATCCCCCAAACATACACTGAAAAACTAGGAAATATTTAAGTAAGAACCTAGTGACCCAGGTAAATCAGTGATTATTTGCCCGTTAGTACTATATTTTAGGGTGCCTTAATTTCCAAAATTGTGAAGGTTGGGGTGGGGGGTGGGGATTCTATTAAAAAAGAATATCAAAATACATGCTTCATTTAGATGCTCCTTCCTACTTTACTATAAAGGGTCATTTTTATAGATATTAATTTTTACAAGGCAGAATTCTTTGCCTCAGATTTTGGGCACAAATTTACTACTCTCTGAATATCCTCAACCCACCAACATTAGAAAGCAAATGAACACATGAGAAAGCCAAGTTCTTACTAGTGCTCAGTCCCTCCTTACTAGGGCTAGGGGCCTTGGGATACAGAATCACTACCGTGCACTGATTTCTTAGTGTCCAGATCCTAAGAACTAAGAAGAGGAGAGAGGACTCAGGCACTGAACAGAGGGAAGTCTGATGCTCTCACCATGTGTTATAATTGACTGCTGCAATATAACTAAAAGTAACTTATTGAGAGCTGTACGTGAACCAAATGCTGAACTGGGCAGTCTTCTTCAAGGCCTTACACCGTGTTTTCACTGCTGAAAATATTTAAGAAGAATCTCTTCCGGGAGCAGCCTTTATACCAGGATATAGCCTGGCAAGAAAACAGACATGTGATCTGCTCTTATCTTGCTTGACTCACACCCCTTATTCTGTCTACCTCTTATGTCTTGACTTAATGAGACTTAGCTGCATCAAAGAAAACACACCGACTTATAAAGGACAATGACTGTCATAACAAAGTATATTCAAAACAACGTAATGAACGCTCTCAAGGAAATAGAATATATAGTCCTTCCGCATTACCAACTAAAACAGGGAAATAGTCGTTTGGAAGTTTAACTGATTGCATGTCTACTTAAATAACAGTTCCATTTCTTAGTGACAGCATGTACTCCAGTAGAACTAACCTGACCAAGTCTGTATTCTATGAAAACGCGTTTTTAATGTACCTACCTAATAAAAGGAATTGAAATATCACCTAATTTAAATTTTGTTTTCTGCTTGTGATGATTCAAATATAAAGAGGACAAGCTGGCTTTTTCTTAAAGTAGTTTCAACTTTAAAACATATATGAAACTGTTAAAATGTAAACATTTGAGATTTGGATAAATAGGCTATTGTTCTAGGGTCACTTTGTTAATCTTTTACAAGAATGAAGGGAGGCCTTAAAAGGTCTGCATTAATTATATATGGCTTTGCTTACATTAAACAAATGTATATAACATATAAGTAGAAACCATAAATAGTAAGGAACATGTCAAAATTAGTTCAAATTATGCTAAATTGCCTTGTGATATATATTATGTAATTTTACTATGCTAGTGAAAAAGATCACATCAAAATTTCACACCTTTAAGGCAATCGATAATCCTTCTGGAAAAAAAGTTGACCTATCTACAGTACTACAACCAACTCAACCCTACACCTCATCATCTCGGCACAGCAGCTGTTCAAAACACAACGGGTTTGCCCCCCTGTGCTACTATTAGAACACTTGCCTGCTGTGGGAACTCTTGCTCAGCCAGCCTTTGAAACCCCAAAGTCTAACACAAGCTTCTACATGAAAGAAAAAAAAATACAAGTGCGTGCCTTTCTCAGAAGCTTTGCTCTGACCCTAGAAATCCTTACTATTTTATGAATAAACACACATGCATGCGCACACACACACACAAACGTATTCACACAAAGACATAGGATAAAAAGAAATCCTCCCTTTATCCGAAGGGCACTCTTCACAGCTTGGTCCTACCCTCAGTAGTTTGAGAATACACAATTTTTTCCCTTATATACTTAATCACATTTTCAAATTGTAATTTGATTGATTGTCCTGATTAGATAAGCCCTTTGAGACCGCCTTACATCCCCTTTCCCAGCAACAAAAGAAATCCACGGAAAAAAGATCCTATGTGCAAGTCATATGTCACTTGCAACTTTCCAACATGGCACCTTCAGCGATCAGACGAGACTGGGTGCGTTCAGGGTGGTGTGGCCGTAGACCAACATGGCTCCTAAAAAGAAATGTGAAGACTAACACAGCAGCATTAAAGAACAGGTCATTATTGCTGTGGGACTAGCACTTGATCACTGAGTAGTGCAGTTGTCTCCCATGTCCTGAGCATAGCGGTCTGAGATGGTAGTCCTCAATTCATCGATGTCCCTCCGTAACTGGCAGACATCGGACAGTTTTTTAGTGAGTGTCTCTGGGCTGTGGTCATTCTCCGTCTCTTCAGCGGAACAGTTCAGTGCTGTGGAAATAAAACAGGGAGAGAAGGTCTCACATTTTTCTGAACAAAGGCATTTTAGGATTTTCCACTTAATTATCATTGACAATACAATGTTATTCATGGAACACCATTCGGGGTCAGATTTAAATTATGCATCATTCATTATTAAATAGGTCTTATTAACTTGGTCCTTTCAAAATGTTGTTAATTAAAATGTATTAAATTCATACAGTAATGCACACAAATTCATGTTTAATGGATGACAATATTCCAAAAGTAGAAAAAAATCCTCCTCTAGCAACTCTATTACAGCTTACCTGGACCACTTAGTTCTTCCCATTTGGCAAAAATCTGAAAATCATTTGTGTAGTGAGGGTGATACCTCACATTTTTATAGACTGCAAAGTGGGTTTGTTGGCATGAAAACAAATCATATATATATATAACTGGGACCCCCAAATCCCAAGCAATTGAATTAGGCTGATTGCTAGGTACCCTGGCTGAATAACTGAGGGTGAGGCTGAATAACTGAGGGTGAGGCCCTAAGCCAGATAGCTTTTAATCATTTACTCCAGTTCCTCTCTTTATCAGCATATATCAACATAAAAGCAGCTGGAGCCAGTGACTGTAAAATAAACCTTTCTTTATATCTTCATTGACCTTGGTAGCTTATTAGAGCCATAAGAGACAGATAACTTATTTTAACAAACATTAAATGAATACCTGCCATGATCCAAGATGTTGAGGTCAGCAAAAATAATGTAGGTAACCTCCCAAAATATACACACACTTTGAATAATTATAAAGGCAGTGTTTATTAAAATACATTTCATTTTCAAAACTGAGCTATCAGCTGTTAAAGTGTGTATATATTTTTGGGGGGGACACCCTGTAGATATAGTGGCTTATTCTTTCATTTTATTATTTTTTTAATCCTCACCCAAGGACATGTTTCCAAGGAGGGGAGGGGCCGGGAGGGGACGGGAGGGAAAGAAACATGGATGTGAGAGAAACATCTATTGGTTGCCTCCCATATGTGCCCGAACTGTAGAGGGAACAGGTTCATTGGAAGGGCCAAGGAAGCAGAGTAAGCAAAGGTATAGAAGCAGAAAACCAAATAGTCTGACAGAATTTGAAAAACTTCAAGAAAATCAGTAACCAGCTCTAATACGGTAGAGCACAAATTATGAGAGAGGAGAGTACCAAGAAATAAGGCTGAAGAGACAGGTGTGAGCTACCCGTCTATACTTTGGGGAGTGTAAGTATTAGGAAGTCCACAGATCACTCTGGCAACACTGTGAAAAATGGACTGGGGGAGGGGCAAGATGGTTGACAGACCAGTCCAGAGGAAAGCTTGAATTAAGGCCACAGTGCAGTGAAGTTGTAATGGCAGAAATACACAATAGGAGCAGGAAGAGACTGATAAAAACAACAGAGTCCAACTATCCTCAATATGCATAGGGGCCAGGGATTGTGTATGGGGCACACGACAGAGGAAAGGGGATAAAGTCCAATTGGGGTGACAGGTGGATAGTGCTGCTCACTAAGAGGAAGAGCTGGTTTACAGAGGGAAGAGCAGTAGGCTCTGCTTTGGACATATTGAGTCTGTGATGCCTATGAAGCAGCTGGTCCTAACGTACAAGCCAATATAATCAGGAGCCCAGAAGGGACTTTCTAGGCAGAATAAGAGATAAATGTCTCTATGGGTCAAAGGTACAGTGATAACAGAACGCAACAACAGGATATGAATAAGATTATTCAAAGAAAACATCTAAAAAGAGAAACAAAAACCCAACCACACAAGGTGTCTGGGGGAGCTCAGTATTTCAGGGGCAGAGAATTCCGTAGAAGTCTGAGACTGAGCAGGCATAAAGGTAGCAGCAACCTACAGAGTGACGTCATGAACACCATGGTGGCAGAGCGTTTAAGAAGCATGGGTGAACATTGGGGGGATAAGGACACATTTGTAATATTTTATTCATTAATGGGAAAACAAACAAACAAACAAAAAAGCATGGGTGAACAGTGCCAACAAATAATCCACAGAGTGAGGAGATGGAGATTCAAAAGAATTAGCTGTACAATGCTAAACTCCAAGGTAAGAATTCTGGGGTTAAATTGTAAAGACTGGAAAGAGTATTCGTGGAGAGATGACTGTGGCAAGGTTCTTAAATCTCCCTTTTATTCATATTAAGATAGCTCTCTTATCCTATTATTGAAAACATTAACAAATTATTATATAGGAGTGTGTAAATGTAGGTTACAGAATAAGTAAAAGAGTGACCATCTCTGAAATGGTGGAGAAAATGAGTTCTGACACTGAACTTTTGCTTCTTGTTCCAAGAGATCATTGCTAACTGAGCCACCCCATATTCACCTAGCAAACTCCTCCTTTAAGATTCAAGCCAACAATAGTCACTCCATGGTGTCTTCATAGCCCTTACCAGGTAGATTCAGTTGTTTTCCCTTGCGCTCCCACTGTCCCTGTGCCCATCTCAATTATACTTATCACAACGCCCTAAGAATGTGGTTAATGTGGGAGGCAAGGGCTGTGTTCCAATTATCTGCATTATCACGCCTGGACTGGAGAAGGCATTTGATGAATATGAGGGAAATTCTGCTAACATCTCTGAGCACAGTTACATGTTTCATTTAACAAGTGATACACTTTGATCAAGAGTATTATGTATTTGGTTTGATAAAATAATTATGATACAAGATGGTGGAATCTTTTTTTTAAAATATATTTTTAATTGATTTTTTACAGAGATGAAGGGAGAGGGATAGTTAGAAACATCAATCAGCTGCTTCCTGCACACTCCCACTGGGTATGTGCCCACAACCAAGGTGCATGCCCTTGACCGGAATGAAACCTGGGACCCGTGAGTCCACAGGCCGACGCTCTATCCACTGAGCCAAACCGGTTAGCGCAAGATGGTGGAATCGTTATAAAACTGGGAAAAAACCCAGTCCCCTCTCTAGGTACATATTTACTATATTATTAGGTAATTACTCAATACAACATGTTGCTGCATAAATGACCTGACTCCTTTCCTACCTCCTCACAGAAGTCCATTTCTTCTGTATTAAAAGGAGACTACCACGTCAATAATAAAATTGAGAAGCACATGCAGAAATGAGTGTCCCTGCAACAGCAGCACAGAAGGGACGTGACACTGGGACACCCTGTGGCAGCTGTCACAACTCTGTGTGGAGGAAGGCAGAGTGAGGCAGAACGGGTGGTGTCACACCGAAAGGGACAAAGCCAGCAGGTATGCATGACAAGAGCAAGAGACCTGTAGGTATGAAAACCTCCACAGAACAAACGCTACAGAGGAAAGTGAGGGAGTATCTTTTCTCCAGTATTTTCCAGTGGACAGATGGCTGGGTCTATTGAAAGCCAACAGAATTATCATGTTAGAAGAGTGGTCAGGAAACCACACCTATTATCACTCCATCAGGGATCTGCACAGCTCAGCACGCAGGCAGATTTGCCATTCCATATCACCTATGGCCACACTCACTTCTGTAGGCATAAGGTAAGTCCTACTAATGAAGTAAAAACATGTATTCACGACCCACAGAATGATTCAGAGATTTAGAAATCTACATAGAAAAGGAGATTAAAAACAAATATGGAAAATGCAGTCCGAAGTTCCTAATTCATGAAGACCGGTTTTTCTAACAGTTAAGCAATACTCTAAGGACAAGTCATGGGCCACTTACATCTGATTCCCAGTAATAATGAAAGATTTGGCTCCTTGCCCTGAGCACGCTGATTAAGAATACTGCACAATGCCTTCAAGTCAAACAAACAATAGGACATTTCCTTGAACAGCTGGTCAATCACACTCAGATCAAAGAGTGGTCGTTTGGAAAGAACCGTCTGCTGCCTGGGTTGGTCTGCTTCCTGGCCCTCATCCAACACAGAGCATGTCTCTTCTGTGTGTCTTTGGTTCTGCAATGGAAGAAGAAAACATGGTTAAAACAGAGGATAGGTACTCAAAAGCCATACAGGCTAACATTCCCCGCCACCCACCTCCCGCCCCCAGTCTATAAACGAAACAATGGAATACTATATGCACATGAACCAAATTTAGTGGGAAAAAAAAGAGAAAAATAATTTAAATAATGGAATGGTTCCTTTGCCCTACAGAGGAAATACAATTCCAAACCGTCTTAGTTTCTAAAAGTCTCTCACATAATCAGCATCTTGATTGTATATGTATTTTTAAAAAACAAGATTTATCCTAAGAACAAAATGAACCACAAAGGAACTTACACCTCATCCTGTAGTTTTATGGTATTAGTATCAATAGTGATTTAGTTACTAAGTATGTATGTTGTTATAGTAACCAGAACCAATATTTTCAGTGTAAGAGAAAAATACAACTAAAACCTCAAAGGAAAAAAGACCCTGAACAACTGTAAATTGTTAAATTTGAATTATCAATATGACTCATGATTTACTACACTTCGAGAAAGTTACCCTCGCCTCATCCCCCAAATTGTCATCATCTACTCCCATCCTGAAAAGTGCTCATGAACGATAAGTAATTAGCTTTCCAACTGGGACTGTATTTCAGAATAACCAAATAGCCTGAGTTGATGAGAAAAAGATTTTTAAAAAATACATGAGTGCCAGTTAGTAAATGTAAATGGAATGATGTAATTAGAAAAAAATACCGTTCTTTAATCATCTAATGATGCAGATAATGATCACCGCTGGATACTACAACCAACAAAGTAGAGGGTGCTGGCAAACTACATATTCACACAGTTGCCTAAGCACCACCCACAGAATGCCTGCTGTTTGCAGAGGCTCTAACATGAGACTGGAAACAATCGGTCTGTCACCCTTAACCCTATGAGATGAGTACTGGTGTCACTAACAGTGAAATAACCAAACATATATAACTTGATGATGTGAACAACACCTACAAAAAATGCTTGGCCTGAATCTAATGATGTCTTTAGCTCTAACTTCTAGCTCACAAGAAAATAAAGGGGGTAGAGAACAAGACAAATGACACCAGGAGGAAGCAATCAGACAAACCTAGAAGTCTGACAAATAAAAGTCTGCAAGACAAACAGGCACAGTTTTATCAACAAGTCACTAACGTGGGAGAAGGGGCCTTACGTTTATAAGACAAGGAAATGCAGCTCACTGTGTTTCCTGAATGCTAGTTTCAAGTCACTATAAAAAGCATTTGTAAAGAAGTGCAATATAGACTGGGTGTTATCAAATACCAAGACATATTATTCTCACTGGGTGTGACGATTGTGATATGGTTATACAGGAAAATGTCCCTAATTTTTGGAAATACATTCTGAAGTATTTAAATGCAAATGTCACAATGACAGTTAAAAACTAAAATTAAGTATTATCTGTGTAACATGTCCTGAAATGCAAGCCAAGTAGTTCATCTCATAATTAAGTGAAGAAAGTGTAATCTGTTCCAATGACAGTGTCAATACTGCATTTTCCTTAAAGATTCCCTAGGGTAATTGTATACATTCAATTTATGCCTTATTCGATGATTTTGGGCCTAATCTCTATCTAACATTTGACTTAGAGTAATGTCTGTGAAACTGTATTCTAAGACAAAAAATAACTCTGTCTTTTTATTATAATTTTAGTAAGAAACATAATAGATTTAATTAAACAGCACATCAAAATCAAATCTTCAATTTAAAAATGTTTTTTGAATATATACAAAATAAGCATCTGCTTTAACTTAAATAGAACCTGAAACATCCTTTGAAAGTAATTTGAATTTCTTCTACGCACATCAAGCAATGTTTTTGTTAATCTCTGCAGGCTTCTTTCTTTCTTATCCAGCTCTTCCATCATCTTGTGAGTGGTCAGCTTTTCTTCAGAAAGTTTCCCTTGCATAGACTAGAATAAAGAGAATTGTAAACAAAGCATGTCAAAATTGAAAGCAAAATGCAATCTGGTAAGTAACAAGGAATATTGATTCTGAATAGTTTAGATCTATCATCCTCCCCAGTCCCTTGGAAGATGAAGCGCTCACGTTTAAGTCAAACCATATTACCTCTAGAGCAGATGTCTACAATGGGAAAAAAAAACCCATCTTTTCCAAGAACGTTTTTAATCTGGGTAAAATATATTAAATCTACATAATACATAAACAAATAAACTTAAGTCTATGTTTTGATAATACAGGAAGAATACACATAGAATTATTACGAAGGAGAAGGCTCTTGCACAGTGGACTAAAAATAGACCACTGTCAGACCTCCCACTGGCAGGTGAACAGACAGAAATGAGGACAACACCTCATAAACTAATTCAAGCAGATCATTTTGGAAAGAAAATGAAAAATCCTATGAGGTTTTTGAAATGTATTCCTATCTAATAAATATTATTATAGTAATAAAAAATGATAAAAATACAAAATCCAATGTCTTTAGTTAGATCATGATGACCTTAACTAAATGTGTGTTTAGTAATAGAGATAGACTACACACAATTAAAACAAGGACAAGTAAGGAATAGACAATCTTCACATTTTTTTTGAAGAATTGATTCACTGAGCAGCATTTCTGTTCTAAAAAACTGGAAGATTAATATTAAAGAATTTGCAACTTCATCTCAATTGCTATTAATCTTTTCACACAAATATATACATATGCTTCAATATGTTTAAGTTGTGTAACCATTAAGAGTGAATTGGCAAGTAGCTAAATTAAAATGAGCACAAAACATTTCTTACCTGAATTTCTAAAATCATTCTATTAATCTCATCTTGTTGGCGGTGTATTATCTAAAACACAGAAAACATACCAGTCTGAATCAATTTTTTCCCATTGCTTTTTAAAAGTATTGGTATTTCAAGAAAACAAAGAAAATCACAGGAAATTATGTTTTTTTTAAAAATTAGGGTGTAATTTTTTTATAAAAGTATTCATACCAAGTATCTGTTAAATAGCCACATATGTAAAATTGCAAAAGTCTTCCTATTTCTTAATAAAAATGTTCTGTAATGCAATTTACAAAAATAACTTTGAAACAGACTTTGAATAATGTAGGAAGGAAAAAGATATCCTTTTGTTTTTTTCTAAGAATATAATTTCCCGAGTTTGGTTTTTATTTAAGTTTACTTAAATGGGTATTTTATTTCCAAATAAAAACATGCAAACTAAAAATTCCATCAGCTATTAAATATTATAAAAAATATAAATCAAATAGCTCTAAGTTATATATCTACACATATGACCATGACCACACAGCATTGATTTCTTGTTATTATGAAAGATATGTACTGACCTTACTAGCATTCTCATTTTGTTCTCTCAGGGTATCATTTTCAGTCTGAAGCTGTTTTGCATCTAGCATAGGAAGGCGAATTCCATCTTCAAGGCATCTTTCTACCTTTTGCTGCAAACTGTTTTAGAAAAACAATTATATAAAGAAAATGGGCTCTAGATGCTAACTTTGGTAGAAAATTTCAACATAAATACAGCCCCTTCTGAGGGTCTATAATATTTTTAATCAAGACTTATGGACAGTATATAAATAAGTTTGAGTACCTATAGTTCATGAAAGTAAGCAACATACTGGAGGCTGATCATCTCTTCAGGAATGAGACCAGAGTCAAGCTGCTTCGTATGTGGGATCCTCAGGCCCTCATCACCCTCACCCGAGCTCTGAGGTCTAAGCCCTCTTCTCTTCTTCCCCCACCAAAGCAGAGTTACTGGGTTAAGATGACTGTGGTAGGGAGCCTAAGAATATGAATACACATCTTTTGCCTTCATTCTGAGCTCAGGAAAAGTTTGTAAAGATAGCTGTTGCCTAAACCAGCAGAATTACATTTCTCCTTTATTAATAAGACTTCACCTAACAATTTCTCATGCTAGCCATGAAACAGAGTTGCATTTTAGAAGAACAAAAGACAGAAGACCCTCTGGCACACTAAGAATAAAAGGGTAAATGAAAGGATGGTATTAGCCCTGAGAAAATTAAAGCATTTACAATAATGACCAAAACCAAAATCTAACAGAAAGACACTTAGGAATAGTTCCACTTTAGCTTGTGGTCATACTCAAGAGTTACAGAATACTAAAAGAAATAGACTTCATCTTATTTGGGTTTTGCTATTTCCATTATTTTTCTCCTTTCAAGTATTATGGCTATCCTGTGTTTTCTGCCTTTCAAAAAAAACAAAGGAGCATGTGTGACCTTGCTTCCTGACAATGTCCTCAGTTTGGCTCAATACATGCTTATAGAATTTCAAAAGAGAAATGCCATATTCAGATTGTGGACAAAGAATTGACAGTCCTAATATACAATATGGGCTTCAGATGTGTTGGTAAATAATGGCACTAGAGAAGTTATATGTATTACAAATGTAGTGTACTGCTTTGTAATATATTACCTGCCATGAAAAAATTTGCTTTCTCAGTCTAAAAGTGAAAAACACATTATTTCAATTTCAGAATACATTTTTTCCCAATGCAGTCAAGATACAACTATGTATTTATAACATTCCAAAAGACATAAAACTTTTGAAAAATGAGCCAACAATGAGAAAGGGAAAATGTATTGTCATGGAAAAATACCAAGTAAGTCCTCTTTCATATATCCATTCTCATTTTCTTTGTTATAAAGCATGCTCACTTAGAAAAGTAATAAATCTCTTGATCATCAAAGGTATCAACTACTGCATTATTAGGGATCACATCCACATATTTACTTACTTTTCTAATATGAAAACTTTTCTCATTTCTTTTGAAATCTCAAAAGTTCTTATGTATTCATAAAGCAGGAACTTAAGAGCTATTATACAAAACCGAAAACTATAATGATATAAACAAAGTCACATATACATCTGCAGTTCTGGCACTTCAGGAATACTGTATCATTTAGCTGAGGAAACGGAAATAACACTCCTGCCCACAAAGTCAAGTGCCGCCATAGCCATACAAGTACTGAAGAATATAGAAGATCTTCTCTGGTTCTTTGCACCCATTTGAAATTGAGCAAAATTTTCTGGGATAATATCATCTCAGAGAGTATCAAGATAAAATTAGGAAATGGAAAACGTATTCTGAAATGCACTGTATTTAGTCTTTCCAAATAAAAAATACCAGTCTCAATGTCTCCAAAAACCTAATAAAAGCGAAAAATCTAAATAAAAGAGAAGGTATAAAATCATATTAAATATGTAAAAGCACACACTGGAACAAAACAAACATTCAAATTATTTTCAAGTGTTCTTAATTCTATATTCATAAAACAACACAGCTTGAGTTTACAATCATAATGCCCTATTAAAAGAGAACAGATACATTACCTCTTTTCATTTTATCAGTAAGATGACAGAAAAAGATATATGGTAGAATTAGTGGAAGTCATAAAGCTATTTTGAGACGAGAGATAGGATATAAGATGTGGAGTTATAAAAAGTTCCCTTAAAGAGCAAGAAAGCAGAAAATAGGAGAAAAGTAAAGGTAGAATCAAAGTGTATGAATTTTTCTGGAGCTTAGCATAGGAACACTGAATTGTCCCAGAAATTGGAATTTTCTGCACTGAAATCCAAGGAAAAAAAGGAGACCAGACATACTTAAGACTATGGAAGTAGTAAAGCAATATCAACATGGAATCATCAGATAGATTTTGATTAAATAGCTGAGAATACATTGAGTTATATATAACTGATATAAGCATGAAGAATATATTTCTTAAATTTAGTTTTTTGTTGCTTTTTTGTCTCATTCTTCAGGATATTTTATCTATTTATGATCAATAATCTAATAAATTTAAGTTTTACAAGACAGAAGAGTACGTGTACATGCATATGTAACACAGTTGTCCAGATTTTTCAGGAATCCAATATTAATTTCCCAGCTTGAATACAGTAGCTAAATATACTAACAAATAATATTCCCTATAATTCTAACTGCAGTGATTTAAAAGCAAGATCCCATGAGGCAAGATGTGTCAGTCAAACTGAACCGTACGTGGCAAATGGCCCTGTCTGTCCCTCCACGGCAAGGTGAAGAGGAGCCAATCACGTCACTGGACACACCTCACTAAGGAGGTCAGTCTGAGTACCTGGCTGCCCCTCTTCCTGATACTTTGAGTTTTCACTTATCTCCCTTTGGCAAGATGTCAGTATGTTGCATTAAAATGTTAAACAACTACTGAGACAACCTGTTTTAAGGACACAATTACTTCTGGATCTTAACAATACCTCTTTAAGATAAAAAGAATAAAGAGTAACAATTATAAATTAATGTATTTTTAAGTGAAATGCTTTATGAAAAATATAAAAAATTTTAAAATAACAAAAGAATTACTGAAGGTTTTCTTACTTCTGAACCGTAGTTACCAACTCCTTTTCTTTCTTTTTCTGGCATATTAACTGTGCCTCTTTGTCTTGACCCTGTTTTTTCATCTCTTCAAGCTTTTTCTCCATATCTATCAAAGTCTCTTGCAAATTCTTATTTTTTTCTTCTAGAACCTGCAGCTAAGAAGAAATGTTTTAAAGTTCATAAAACATGAAATATTAAATGTCTTTCTACTAGACATTGTTACTGTGTTCTCAAAGATTAATACATTGGTTAAAATCACACTGTATTTTCATTTCATCCCCTTACTAACACTTTATTTCCTCCTTTGTGTAAAGAGAGCTGGGAGAATGAAATTATGGAGAAGAAGAGAATGGAATCAAAAAGTTCTAGAGGACAGCGAGAGAAGGTGAATGATCTCAATTTGAGTGATTTTTTAAAATTATATTTTTAATTGTGGCAAAATATACATAACAAAAAAGTTACCATTTTAACCATCTTTAACTGTATATTTCAGTGGTGTTAAGTACATTCACATAATTGTACAACTAATAATCAGAACTCTTTTCATCTTGCAAAACAAACTTCATACCCATTAACAACTCCCTATCCACTTCTCCCCCCAGCCCCTGGCAACCACACTTTGACTTTCTGTCTCTATGAATCTTACTACTCCAGGGACCTCATACAATATTTATCTCCTTGTGACTGGCTTATTTTACATAAGAAATTACCCTCAAGTTCATCCATCTTGTAGCATGTGTCAGAATTCCCTTCCTTGTTAAGGCTGAATGGTGTGCATGTGCCACATCTTGCTTATGCATTCGTCCATTGGTGGGCACTCGTTGCCTCCACCTTTTGGCTATTGCAAATAATGTTATGAGCACACATCATGCACAAACATCTGTTTGAGACCCTGCTTTCAATTCTTTTGGGTATATACACAGGAGTGGAACTGGTGGATTGGATGGTAATTACATTTTTAATTTATGACAAAATTATCATTTTCCATAGTGGCTACACCATTTTACACTCTGACCAATAGTGCATAAGGAATCTAACTCTCCGCATCGTTGTTGCCAACACTTGCTTTCTTCTTTTTTTTACATTAGCCATCTTAATGTGGTATAAACCCATGCTTTAAAATCTATATTCCTTGCTGTTCCTGGTCATGCAAATTCCTGTCCTCCTCCTTCAGTCACCCTCTCTTAGTTATACAAATTATAAATTAACTTAAACAGAGAATGTGTTGTAGGTCTAGAGTCAGCAGAATAGTGGCACTCTGTGGATTAGACCAATGATTTCAACTGGAGCAAGTTTCCCTCCCAGGAGACATTTGAAAACATCTGCAAACAGTTTTGGTTTGGGGTGGGGGGAAGGACAAAGCAGTGCTATTGACTTCTAGTAGGTAGAGGCCGGAAATTCTGTTAAGCATCCTTGAACGCACAGGACAAACCCTACTACAAAAAATTATCCACCCCAAATGTCAATAGTGCTGAGGCTGAAAATTCCATGATTAGAAAGACTTTGAAAAAAGACTGAAAAATAGGTGGTTTATAAATAGGGTTTCAGGAGGACAGGCCCCAGAACTGGTCGAAAGACTCGGAAGGGGGTATCCTTAAGAAAGGAAAATGGTCAGAAAAGAAGGTGAAGGAGTAAATGGAGATCATAAAATATAAGAAAGAATTTGTGGAAAAATTAAGAAGGATGAGGAAAACAAATCAAATATCTGGAAAGATAGTAAAAAAAAAAAAGGTCTTCTTGAATCTTGTTGGAGAGATCTCACAGAATGCTGGGAAAAGTCAGACTGTGTGAATGTGTGAATGTGTGTATGGGGTAGGTAGGTCAGACTGGTTTGGAAACTACCTTTGAGAGTAGAACATACAGTGAGACAGTTAACATACAGGTTCATTGGGAAGGTAACATTAACAAGAAAGATCTACTTATGCTCAGATGAACAGTTTCTAATTAAAAGTTAATCCTAAAAACAGCAATTAAACAGATTTAACTTATAATTAGACAATTATATAACTAAAATTTTATATTATAGAAGTTATGAAATTTCTAAAGCATTAACTGAAAATATGTTCTTCATGCCATTTAAAGACGAGCACTGGATTTCCTGTTACCTGGAGACTCTGACTCTGGACATCATCTAGAGTTGGAAGATCAGCCAGATACTTCTCCAAGGTCTCAATTCTTCTCTGCTTTTCTTTGTTTTGTTCAGATTCCTTCTGGCATTTCTTTTTCAGGCTATTGATGTATCTATCTCTAGTTTTAAGCTATAAAAAGATTATAAATCTTCAGTGGTTTTGTGCCATTAAAAAAATAGTAACAAAACAAACATTCTAATCTTAGACATCACTGAATTCTCCAACAGTTCTAGGTTATAGTTGATACCACACCAACTCAAGTAAGATTTACTTTATTTCATCAATTCTAATATTCACATTTTTTCAAATTTCATAGCACTGAAATCAAGTTTTTGAAATTTTTTGTTTTCATTTACAGCTGATGGCATCTTTTAAACTGCAGTCACCCAGCAGTAATAAAGTTTTTATTGTATTATCTACTCTAGTTTTTAATACCTGCATATGTGAAAATTTAGTCAAGGCTATTCTTATTTTTGGCATTTCAAGAGTGTTATGTACATGTTGAAACTAATTATTGAAAATTTTACATTATACTTTGGCACTGACAAAAGTTATTGGAATTCAGCATGACACAGAAACAGAGCCACGAGGTATAATTTCAAAATCAGTGAAGCAAGTCATTCTTTGAAGGAATGAGTCCATTCTTATTTCTTGCAAAGTTATATCCAAATGTTTTGAATTAAGAAGGGAAGATAACTACAAATAATTAAATCTGTTCTGTTACTAACAAACTTGCAAAGGAATTACTTATCATGGACTAAAGCAATACAATCAAAGCTAGAAGGGCTTTCAACAATAAAGATTTTTTAAAAATTAACTAAGAAAAATCTAGGAGGACTTACTAAAATTATTAAATAGTTGGGAACTGATAAGGGAACTAGCCATACCAATCCATACCTCAAGCAAGACCACTGTTAAGGCATTGTGGCATAATTAAGCTTACAGCCTGTGTACTAAAAATTACATAAAATAAAGCAGTGCCTTACTATTAACGTCATTTTAGGATTGATGAAATATGTTAGCTGAGCACCTACTATAGAACACATAGAGCACATGACACTAGGAAATCCCAATCTGTGTAGGTCAGACCCCAGATTTCTATGCATGAAAATAAACTCTTTAAATTCCACCTTATATGCAAAGCTCTTTCACACTTAAGATCAATTAAAAACAATATGCACATATAAACAGTTGCCTAAAAAGTGAACTCCAGACTCATATTGACCTTAAATCACCAGTCTTCCAAACATTTAACATTTTTTAGAAGTTTACAGGGTTTTAAAATACTTTTGCAGTCTTTTCCCATTTTCACCAGGGAAATAAATGCTAGTAATTAGTGGTATAATGGAGTAGTCCTTCATATTTTACTAAAGCTAACACTTGTCCAAAATTTAGTTTCTTCATGCCTTATCTAATTTCTTCAGGTCCAATGTATAACAAATTTTATTAAAACAACTTCAATTGGAAAAATGAATCACATCTCATTCATTCTATCAGTAACATCAGAATCCATTTATTACCTTGGGTAAGAAGCAAAACTGGTAAAACAGACAAATCCCATTATTTAGTGGGGCTTTCTCAGGACTAAAGGCAAGTGTGCTGGTATGACAACTTAACTTGTGATCTATTACAACTCACAGATTGATGGCACTGATGGTGACCTGCAAGACCACATAGTATAATTCGCTTTCAGAATATGAGGCCTAGAGATCTTTTGTGACTTAACCACAAATCTCAGAGACAGAGTTGGGATTTAAGCATAGATTGTCTGAACACTAAAGCTGATGTCCTTTCAGTTCTATACCACGAACCAAATTCCCATAAATTCTCTTACAACCAGCTGTGCTGGATCGCACATCAACAAAGCCTGCTCTTCCTTAGCAAATAACTCTTTAAGTGATAGAAGTAAACACAACTACCAGTCTATTTTACTAAGTGTTCTAGAATTTACACTTAGTTGTTTAAGTGTCTTAAACACGACACAGTGATGTCCTCACAAAGCAGCCACTGGTATAGATCAGCGATGTGGCCTACTACACAAAGAAGTTCACGTTTTCTTCTTTTTCTTTGGTCGGTCAACTGTCTCCTTTGCTATGATGCCAAGCTCGCTGCCCTTGATCACCAATCTCTGCCAACATTCTCCTACTGGATAACCTCCGGTATTTGTTGACCACAAGTTGATAACCCATAAGCACTGGGTCTTGTTTTCTTCTAACCTTGCTCACTAACAAGAAGCTCTTTGTTTTATTTTATTTTTTAACTTCAAAGTTTTGTGTTGTTTTAGGTTCACAGAGGTCACTGAAGTCTGAATTCCAGTAATTATCCCAGGTAAATGAGGCATCACTAATAAATCTTTCCTATCCTATTTATAAAAGTTAAATGTTTTTCCTTCCAGGAAGTATTATGCAACACTAAGATCATTCTTAGAAGGCAACAGGAGCCAGGCCTGTTTTAGAAGAGGATAATAAACAAATTCATTTTTCTTTATTTTAAATACAATAATTAGAACAAAACAGGTCAGTGAGGAAATGTTTTTCTGTAAATTTTTTACAAATAATTGTTACAACCAAAGCATCAGCTGTGGAGTTAAATTGTCTTGAATTTTTCTCCTAGCTTTTTGACAACTTCCATCTACATGCAACTAGACAAATTTCTCAAATTACTTTTCTCAAAGCTTGAGTTACCTCATTTTTTAAAATACGGGCATAGTATATATCTCATAGGGTTTTCTGAAGGTTAGGATTAAATAAGAAAATGCCCTGAATGCACATTAACATGCTCTCTGGCACATACAAGAAAGAGCTCACTAAAAAGTAACTTCTTTTATTATTATTATGCTTATTAGCACATTAAATGTTTTTCTGTAAAAAAAATCCGTCTTGATCAGCATTAGAGAAAATACATGAGGAAGAAAACAATGTAATCCAATCTCATGTGGGCCCAAAGTGCTGTGTAGCTGATGCATTACCAATGAGTGTATTTTCCAGCTGCTACACTCCCTTCGGGAACTAAGCTCCATGCTGTCTGATACACACTTTAGCCTCTACATTCACCCCTTCCTCAAGTTTCCCTGGCACAGACATGTCCATTCTTACCTGCTTCACTCCACAGAAGGCAATTCCTCTTCCTTTCCAAGAGTGCCTCTTCCACCTTGTTGTCTGTTATCAACCTTTCCAACTCTTCTCTTGAACTCACTTCATCATGCAGCCACTCTGACATCTTTGATGTCCCTAATTATTCTTTCTTTAGTCCTTTGTAATCCAGCCCAGACTAACAGGCAAGTACCCCCCACCCCATGTTACCCTGACTCATCCGCCTATCTCCCTCTTCTCCCCACAATAATGAACTTTTTAAAGATTTTGCTCACTTCTGATGGGGTCCGTTCATGCATGTTGAAGAAATGTTTTTGGCCTAATTTAACTTCATTAAAAATACTTACCTTTTCCTCTAATTTCTTCTTCTCTTCACTAAATTGGCTTATTCTTTGTTTGAGAAACTGATTAAGCTGTAAAACCTCTTTCTCGGTAGATGCAAGCTTTTGCTCAAGTTCCTCTTGCTGGGAATTGGACACTGACGGATCTGAAAATGGAGTCTGGAGTGCAGTGCTCTCATATTGTGGCTATTAGGAAAGAAAACACAGGTAAGACTTTAAAAGTGTACTTGTCTTGAATAAATGAAAAGAAATTGGAAATGAGGTAGAGCACATATAAGCTCTAGCAATAAACAGATCTTGGCATAAATTCCAGTTTGCCCCTCATGTAATAAAGTGTCACACAATGAAACTGTCAAAGTGCTAAGATAGCTGTATATGTAGTAGCTACGGAAAGGCTTTATAGATAGGCATACATATAAAAACTCAAATGAGGTGTTGAATGCCAGGAGCCAGTCCAAGGTCACCTATCTGAGAAAGGTTGTTTCCCCAGGTAGGGATTTTCCCCTGAAGTTAGGGAGGGAATAAAATCCCTTAACTAAGTGCCAGGTGGGTAATTAATCTCCTTAACTATGAACAATCATGCTTAAGCTACATCTTTACTCCCTGGAATGGAGATAAGAAACGCCGCCCTAAACTTTGGAATATCGATTGATCCCTGTGCTCTGGCAAAGGGAAGGTGAAGTGCACTGGAGATGTGAGGGAAGAAGCCAGGACTAGGGACACAGGGGATACAGCTCAGAAGATAGACACCCAGGACTCCTGGGAGGAGTCATTCCCTCATGCAGAGGAGGACATCTTTCCCACATAGACATTTGCCTCACCTGGGGGGAAGACAGTTGATACATCCTATTGAAAAACACCTTTCCCTGAGGCCACTTAAGTGATTAAAAGCAACAATTAGCCTCCAGGCAAAAACAACTGCCCCACCCTGTTGAAAAAAAACTCTGAGGATGAATGCCTGGGGGCAATTCAAGTCAGAATCCTATTAGTCTCTAGTCTAGACAGAGGCGGTCTCTTGAGGCTTTGAGTATTTGCCTGATCCAATTAGTCAGAAACAGCCTTTAACACTGTCCTGCACTAGAGATTGAGTGGTATAGAGGATCTACTTAAAACATAGTCACAAACCCAGACAGACAACCAAAATAAGGAAACAAAGAAACAACCCCCAAATGAAAGAACTAGCAAATTCTCCAGAAGGAGAGAGAAATGAAGCAGAGATAAGAAATTTATCTGAAATAGAGTTCAGAGTAGTGATGTTAAAAATGCTCAACAGTATGAAAAAAGATAAAGCAACTATGAAAATGAACAGTCTGAGATAAAGATGACATAACACAAATAAAGAAAACACTGGAAGCAATATACAGCAGATTAGGGGGAGCTGAGGCTGGAATCAGTGAATTAGAAGACAGAGTTGAAAATATCACTCAATTAGAGAACCAAAAAGAAAAAAAAACAATTAAAAAACAGGAGGACAGCTTAAGGGAGCTGTGGGACAATGTGAAATGTAACAATATTAAAATAGTAGGTGTGCCAGAAGAGGCAGAAAGAAAGTAATAGAGAAGGTGTTTGAAGAAACAATGGTAGAAAACTTTCCTAACCTGGTAAAGGAAAATGTCACACAAGTTCAGGAGGCACAGAGAAACCCAAACAAGAAGAACCCAAACAGACCCACACCCAAACACATCGTAATTAAAATGCCAAAAATTAAAGACAAAGAGAGAATAATCTCAAAGGCAACAAGAGAAAAGAAAACTGTTACCTACAAAGAAGTTCCCATAAGGCTGACACATGATTTCTCATCAGAAACTCTACAGGCCAGAAGGGAATGGCATGAAGTACTCAAGGTAATGGAAAGCAAGGATCTGAGACCAAGATTACTATATCCAGGAAGGCTATCATTCAAAATAGACAGTCAAATTAAGAGCTTCCCAGACAAAAGAAAAAAAAAAGGCTAAAGGAGTTCATCACCACCAAGCCAACAATACAAGAAATGCTAAAGGGATTGCTGAGAAGAAGAAACAGAAAGAGAAACCTGGCCATACAGAATTAAAATGGCTATAAATAAGTACCTCTAACAATAACCCTAAATGTAAGTGGATTAAATGCTCCATTCAAAAGGTGTAGAGTAGTGAATGGATACAAAAACACGACCTAACTATATGTTGTCTACAAGAGACACACCCCAAAACAAAAGACACACGCAAGATGAAAGTGAAGGGATGGAAAAATTTTTCCATGCAAATAGAAAAGAAAAAAAAAGCTGGAGTAGCAATACTCATATCCAACAAAATAGACTTTAAAAGCATCATGCTAAGCGAAATAAGCTAATCGGAGAAAGATAAATACCATATGATCTCACTCATTTGTGGAATATAATGAACAACATAAACTGATGAACAAAAATAGAGCCAGAGGGGAAAAATATACCAGAATA